TTGGTCAAAACATCAGCAGAGGCTAGAACACCCAAAAACCACACACACACACACACGGTTGAGCTTGCTTTGTCTGTGGCATCGCTTTGATTCTAAAAGTCGGACACACAACTGCAGTCAACTTTATTTAGTCCTGTTGGTATTTAAATACCGTATTGTTGCAGCATTCTCAGAACCATATGAGTATTTGTTGAAATAAAGGTCAAAAGCTCAAAACAGCACTCTGCAGCATACTTAGTAATTTAAATACTATAACAGGGTGTGAGTCACTAATGTTTGTTTCTTTATTGTTTAAACTATCAAGTCTAAAGAATGTAGACACAAGGACAAATTAAACAACTCACGTCTAGACACCTTCTGTAACAGCTTACACCCTGCACACATGTTTATCTCTTTGTATTGTGTGGAAGCAAAGAGAGGCCATAATAATTATCAGTTTATAAGCTACTGAAAATCTAAGTGTGAAATTTAAATTTAGATACAATTACAGCACTGAAATACTTCACTTTGAAAACTATCCGTCTGCATTTATGTCATTTAAATTCCCCTCTTTTAGTAATTTCAAAATTGAAATGTTTGAAGGTTCTTTCTTTCTTGGCATGAATTTTTCATCTTGAATTGTTGCATCTCAGTTTCACCTGTTTTAGTTTGAGCGTCTTGATTTTTTTGTTTTGTTCCAAAAAACGACCAACTTAATCTGAACTTCAAAATGTTATATTAATCATAACTTTAAATAACCAGCTAGAAATTTCAAAGAGAGTATGCAGACAATTGATGGCAGAGCAGGTGCCTGAAGGTCTATTTTTACAAGAGTAATTGTGTGCACACAGGTGCTGCCGGCCCACGGCTCTTTACCATCCACCAGATTGATGCCAGCACCAACAACCTGCCCAAAGCCCACACATGGTGAGGAAACCGTCAGCATTGTAACATTTTCCAGAGTGTTTGACATGGCGTCTGCCTTTGAGACGAAGAGTGGTGTCGAACCTAAGTGTCGAACCTAAGTTCATCTGTTTCCAAAAAATTCTTTTAAAATCTGTTCTCTTCTATTTTCCCAGTTTCAACCGTATTGACATTCCTCCCTACGAGCACTATGACAAACTGTACGACAAGTTGCTCACTGCCATCGAGGAGACGTGCGGCTTTGCTGTAGAGTGAGTCACTGATGCAGGCACAGCTCAGCACCAACCAGAAGCAACATGGTTCGGCCATGATGAGCCTCCCCCTACAAATCAGTCCACTCAGATGGGGGGTCATCCATGGTTGCTTCACCCGGGGAAGCCCATACTTCCCGGGGAAATGTGGCCAAGCTAAGGGAGGGTCGGCAGAGAACACCAGAAAATGTCATCTTAAGCTGGGTTTTTCTTTTTAAGACCCTCCAGCCCTCCATTATGTCTTTTTTTTATCATCGAAAAGGATCTCTTCAGCTGCTAATAACTCAAGACTATTTACTAACTTGTGGAACCTGCAAAATATGCTGGCTCTTCCCTTTTTTCTAAGTTCATTTTAGCATTTAAAAAATAGACTGTATTCCATGTAGCATTGCTCCATCTTACCAAGCAGAACACAAGGTCAGTCCTCTCTGATACAACATTACCAGTACAGGGTTATTAATGGTTACCACAACCACTTGGAAACACTAAATTTGTGTGCACGACTCGGGCTGTTTGGTGCCTCAGAGTGATCACACTGGGGCTATCAGCGATGCCAAGGCTGGAAAAACAGGGACGTGTGCGGATAAGAAGACTAGAGACTGAATTAGCCCGACTGTTTACAACCCTCTCCAAAGACAGCAGCAGGGACCTCTGCTCCTGAGTCGCAACTCGCGCTGCATTCCCAGAAACCGATTTCACACGTTCGACAGCTAGTTTTGTTTGAAAATGAATAAATGAATGAATAGCTTGAAATGTGTTATTTTTCTATAACAGGGAAAATTGAAAAAGAAACAATAAAATTCTATATAATATATATAATTTATTGCTGTTATATTTCAGAAACCCCTTTCCATTGTTCCAGAAAAATAAAATCTTTTAATGTTAAGTGTTACTGTTTAAATTATAGACGACAATTTGTGAAAACAGAACTAAGCTTAACTGGGTTTCACTTACCAATGCTGTGGTTTATTTCTTGACGGAACCTCTCTCATACTGAACAAGGAGAGGTTTGTCATGAAGAGCAAAAAATCCTAAACACACAATTTCCTCCGAGTGCCATAATCATTTTGAATGAATGAATCTTTGCAAATATTGAGCAGACCCTTTAAATTCTACTGATTTCATCCTGGAGCTACATATGTTGGTGTGATGTTTCCTTTCTATTGCCCAGTTGTTCACTTGTAGTTGGCTGTATTACTGTCACTAGCATGAAAACCTACCATTAATTTCTAATGGTATCAGAAGAGTCCAAAGTACATCATAATCTATTGTGTGCTGCCTCCACATTGTTGTTGTTGTTGGAAAAGAAAAGAAAAACCTCTACTACCTTCTAGCCATGTGGTGCTAAATAGCATTAACGTTTGTCTTATATTGGCAACCTTGCTCATCGACATACTACTGCTTAAGGTGCACAACACACTACTCGTGCTCATACCTGTTTGTGGCCACAAAACATGTCCAAGAAACCAAGAGCTCTACCTAGCCACATTCTCAGGAGATGTCATATGTAGTTTGTTAATGTCCTTTTGATTTGACGACTGACGAGAAACTAATTCTGACCGTGTCTTGATTTCCTGAATGTTAAGGGGTTAAAAAGTCTCGTCGTTTAAATTGTTTTGCCCACGGGGAGACCGTTAACACACAGTAATTGTTGCATGTGTCCATATGTGCTTTTGATTGAAAGGGAACTGAATGAGATGAACTCCTGTTTTAGCCTGCTACACAGTCCCATCAGTGGTGTTTTTATTTAGAGAAAGGGGGATTGTTTTCTACGATTGAAAATGAAATTCTTGAATGTTTTCAAAAGATGCTGCCTGTCTAGCAATCTCTATGACCGTGGACTGTTCTTAACGTTTGCATACACACACAGAAAAAAACTGTTAATTTTCATTCTTTTATGTGGACTAATGTGTATGCAAAGTGAAAAGTGTCCTCAGATGGTGCTTTGTACAGTAATAAGATATTGTTCATATGTGTGGATCAAACGACCTGTAATTTATCTTTAACTTAAGTAGAAAAAGATTTTCTTGAAATGAAAAGAGGAATTGCACACAAACAGAAAAGAGGTTGCCACGTGTACTTAATGGTGACTTCTGTAACAGATATTCATTCGCCTTTAAGTCCAGTGCACAAGCTGATCGCCCTACTGTCTGTTCCTACACTACATCGCTCAGCATCGCCCCGTAGCTGCTGCCTCTCGTTGAAGAACTGAACTTTTTATGAAACAAGTCAAGTTGAGAGATGCCGCTCTTGTTTTTTTTTGTTTTGTTTTGTTTTTTTAATAGCATGATCCACTAGCAGGACTATATCTCTCATAGCTGACTGATGCAATTTGATGTATGTTAACACTATCATTTTGTAAGAGTATTTTATTTTTGTGTGTAATTAGTTCTAATTAAACTTGCCTTTGTCTAACAATGTAAGGCCTTGTACAAAGACATGTCCTGTCCTTTTTCCTGTTTGAATGGTTGTTTGAAATGTCATAAAGAATCATTGTTAGGCTACTCACAATAGAGGTGTTCTGAAACAGGCCCCTTGGTACAACAGTTACTTACATTAAATCAATTTATCAGGGGCTTGTTATTACCACAGTGGCTGAGAATAAATATCAAGTGTGGGATGCAAAGACTTTGCATCTGAATGGCACATATCTGCCCTGACCACCCACTGTGTACCCACTGATACCACAGTGGATTAAAACGTCTGGCAGATGGCTCAGAGGGGGGGCAGGGTGAAAGGGGGTCAAATGACAATGAATAGAGCTGTTGGGGTGGGGGGGGAAGGTGTCAAGTACAGTTTTTGTTGTTGTGTCATAGATTGATGCATTTACCTATCTACAGAGAGGTCTTGAAACCCGTCTTTCTACACACACTGGAAAGAATATAAAAGATTAGACTTCGTCAGGATGATAGATCATATTTTGATGTGTCAGTATCAAGAATAAAAAAGCCAAACATGTAATGAATAATATCTGTTTATTTTTTCGTACATTATTTTGGCCACTTTTATAGAGATTGATAAAAAATGTTTTATGGTGTAGTACCAAATAAAAATAAAGGTGCAGTCCAGTGATGAAAGACATAATACACATTATAGTTATAGACTTGATACTAAAATAAAAAAATGAATGAGTGAGTAAACCTCACTCTTACTGAAAGTGTAGTCTTGTAGTCTTTTTGGTCCACCTTTGAGCTCACATGAAGCCTTCATGACCTACATGACTTTTATAAAACTGCTGCCACACTTTAAACCTCTCGGTACTAGTTTTTTCATGTCTAAACATTTGCTCGTCCACTTATTCCAACAGAAGTTAAGTGAAATTTCATCCCCCAGGTCATATTGGGTCTAACTTGAAAAAAAAAGTCTCTTTCATGTTTGGGTTGGTCCTGATGACGTCACTTACCGGAATACATCGGAAGCGCAGTCAGAGCCGGTTACCAAGTTTCTGTCTCGTACATATCCATCCGCCAACTCCCGTTTATGTAAATACAATGTATTAAAAGGAAGCACCTAAAATATAGTATTGACTCTTTCATACTGATACGCATTTTCAGTCTAATATATAATAAACCACATCATCATTTCATTTTTAGGCTCTACATAAATAATGTTCGTATGTGTTTTGTTTTTTTAAATCCATATTTATATTCTTCTGTCTGCTCTAAATGAGCTTATAAAGTGTATTTAGTGCAGAGTTAGGGTACCCAGGTGTTGTGTTTATAGTAGGAGCTAGAGTTTCGCTGTTCTATAACGTGTCTATGTTTTCTGTTGTAGCTCAAGTCGAAAACCGTGTGGCGGATGAATACATCGGAAGGGGGACTTCCTCTTAATATATAAACCGGGCCTCATTTTCACATTACCGGCATTTCAGCACTACTGCCGGTCGGGTTTTTTATTAGACGGCGGTAAAGCCACAGTGTAGGATATTTATCTTTTTTATTTATACAAATTGTTTACAAGATGCCTGGATATTCCGACAGAGATCGCGGCAGGGACAGAGATAGAGGGTAAGTACCTTTTCTCCTGTGTTTTACACTAGTTTTGCCTTCGCGTGATTTGTACAAATGGCTGACAAGATTAAAACCTGAAGAAAAAAAAAAGAATCGATTGCCTCAACAGTGTTACTCTTATAGGAGATCGTCTTAATCAGCTTTTAAGTTTTAGGTGCGACCCTACCGATGATTTAACCCTACAGTCGGCTCTATTTAACCGCGCCAGGCCCGGGCCTGTGAGCGGAGCCGTTGTCTTTGGCTCAAGGCCTACTTTGGCCTCGTGCCCCGGCACAGCGGCTCTCCGTTAGCTTCAGGGTAGCTAACCGTCAGCTAACGGGCTGTTACCGGGAGCTTTCATAAACCATACTGGTACTGCATATCGCTAGTCTACACTGTTAACACGCAGCACTATCACGATAAAGCCATTTGAACACGATGGTCACTAACATGTAGTGCTGCTAATACAGCTGGCTAGTCGACTTTTCGCCATGTGGCGGTGTGAATGCGGATACAAAATGCCGGCTGTTTTCCATTGTTCCTCTGGTGGCTGGAAAGTATATGGCAGCTGTATAATTTCACAGAATGACGCAGTTAAGATGAGTTTGCCTCTACTCGCTTTAAACAGCTGTTGCCGCCGCCGTACATGACTCGACTAACCCAATCACACTCAGCGACTAACGGTAATTTAATTGCAGCTATGGCGGCGGTCCTCCTCGCTTCGGTGGCAACCGTGGTGGAGGTGGAGGAGGGAAGTTCGGCAATCCCGGTGAGCGGCTGCGGAAGAAACAATGGAACCTGGACGAGCTCCCGAAGTTTGAGAAAAACTTCTATCAGCAACATCCCGACGTTACCCGGAGGCCTCCGGTATGTGATCAGCGTGCTCTTATGTAACACTGGTAGAAATGTGCTCCCCCCTGCACGCGGTGTAGTTATGCAATCGTTATGACCGCTGAACTCGCCTGTTTCTTTCTTTCTTTGCAGCAAGAAGTTGAACAATACAGAAGGGCCAAAACCATTACATTTAAGGGGAGAGAGTGCCCCAATCCCATTGCAAAGTTCCACGAGGCCAGCTTCCCTTGTAAGTATAAAACGGTGTCATGGTGAAACTGTACAATGGAGGAGGTTTGGTGCATATCAGTTAATGGTTTTCCTCTTTTCTTCAGCTTATGTGATGGACGTCATCAACAAACAGAACTGGACTGAACCAACACCCATCCAGGCTCAGGGCTGGCCTCTGGCACTTAGTGGCAAGGATATGGTTGGAATTGCGCAGACCGGCTCTGGAAAAACGCTGTCTGTAAGTTACAAGTTGTCTGCTTCATGGCATTAATAACTTTTCTAGCACTTTTTAAAAAACCCAGAAATTTTCATTTTTAGCCCAAAAAAGTGACCGTTGCATCTGTCTGCTTTACAGTATTTGTTGCCTGCAATCGTGCACATCAACCACCAGCCTTTCCTGGAACGTGGGGATGGTCCCATTGTAAGTAGTCATAACAATGTCATTGATTTACATGCTATACATATACACACACAAACACACACATTTTCAAATGGCTTATTTCAAAACACTCTATCCAGAGAAACACATTTAATGATATAGCAGCATAGAAGACCATAAACTCAGAGCTTCAATTAGAAATGAGTCTGAACTTCGCAGTAATTGGTCTGATGGCATTTGGCCAGAAATCTTATTAATCTTAATTAACTGAATAAAGTATGAAGCTGTTTGGTTTTTTT